TTAAGTCTTTCACCTCCTTGGTCAGGTTTATTCCTAAGTATTTCATTTTGGGGGGGTGCAATTTTAAAAGGTATTATTCTTTTACATTCCCTTGCTGATATTTCATGGTTAATGTAAAGAATTGCTTTTGTATGTTAATCTTGTATCCTGCTACCTTGCTGAATTCATTGATCCATTCTAGTAGTTCTTTTGTGGAGTCTTTAGGGTTTTCTATATATAGTATCATATCATCTGCCTATAATGACAATTTTACTTTTTCCCTTCTGACTTGGATACATTTTCTTTCTTTTTCTTGTGTGATTGTTGTGGCTAGGACTTCCAATACTATGTTGAATAGAAGAAGTGAGAGGGGGCATCCTTGTCTTGTTCCAGATTTTAGCAGGAAGGCTTTCAGTTTTTCGCCTTGGAGTATTACATTGGCTGTGGGTTTGTCATTGATAGCTTTTATTATGTTGAGATATGTTCCCTCTATACCCATTTTGATGAGTGTTTTTATGATGAATGGATGTTGAATTTTGTCAAATGCATTTTCTGCATCTGTTGAGTTGATCATGTGTTTTGTTGTTGTTGTGCTGGGCCTTAGTTGCGGCACATGGGTTCCTTAGTTGCAGCTAGCTGGCTTCTTAGTTGTGGCAATGTGAACTCTTAGTTGCGGCATGCATGTGGGATCTAGTTCCCTGACCAGGGGTTAAACCTGGGCCCCCTGGGTTTGATGGGGAGCACAGAGTCTTAACCACTGTGCCACCTGGGAGTCAAGATCATGTGGTTTTTACCTTTTCTTTTGTTGATATGGTGTATCACATTGATTGATTTGTGTATGTATTACCATCCTTGTGAACTTGGGATGAATCCCACTTGGTCGTGGTGTATTATTATCTTTTTTATGTGTTGTTGGATTCAGTTTGCTAATATGTTGTTGAGAATTTTTGCATCTATATTCATCAGAGATATTGGCATGTGATTTTCCTTTTTAGTAGTGTCGTCGTCTAGTTTTGATATCAGGGTGATGGTGGCTTCATAGAATGTCTTTGGGAGTGCTCCTTCCTCTTCAATCTCTTGGAAGAGTTTGAGAAGGATTGGTATAAGTTCTTCTTTGAATGTTTGGTAGAATTTGCCTGTGAAGCCATCTGCTCCTGGACTTTTGTTTGTAGGGAGTTTTTTGATTACATATTCTATTTCACTTCTAGTGATTGGTCTGTTCAAGTTGATAGGGGGTACGCAGATGCAGCGGCTGGTGCCGGGTTCTGGGGTTCTCGGTAGTGGTGATGGCTCACGCACACCCCTGGAGCATGCAGTGGGAGCAGAGGTGGCTTGTGACCTCTCCTGGAGTCTGCGAGAGTATTTTTAATTTTTGAGGAACCTCCATACAGTTTTCCATAGTGGCTGCACCAATTTACATTCCTACCAACAGTGCCTAAGGGTTCTCTTTTCTCCATATCCTTGCCAACACTTATCTCGTCTTTTTGATGATAGCTATTCTAACAGGTATAATGTGATATCTCACTGTGGTTTTGATTTGCATTTTCCTTATGATTCGTGATGTTGAGCACCTTCTCATGGACCTGTTGGCCCATCTGTATGTCTTCTTTGGAAAAATGTCTATTTAGATCCTCTGCCTGTTTTTAATTGGATTGTTTGGTTTTTTGCTGTTAAGTTGTATGAGTTTTTAAAATATGTTTTGGGTATTATTCCCTTATCATATATATATGATTTGCAAATATTTTCTTCTACTTCATAGGTTGGGTTTTCCTTGTGTTGGTTTCCTTTCCAGTGCAGAAGGTTTTTGGTTTTTATTTTGTCTCCCTTGTTGATTTTTGCTTTTCTTGCCTTTACTTTTGGTGTCGGATCAAGAAAATCATCACCAAGACCAATGTCAAGGAGCTTACCCCCCTATGTTTTCTTCTAGGAGTTTTATGTTTGCAGGTCTTACATTCAAGTCTTTAATCCATTTTGAGTTAATTTTTGTGTATGGTGTAAGATAGTGGGTTTAGTTTTGTTCTTTTCCATGTAGCTGTCCAGTTTTCCCAACAGCATTTATTAAAGAGACTGCCCTTTCCTCATTGTATATTCTTGGCATCTTTATCAGAAATTGTCCATATATGCATGGGTTTATTTCTGGGCACTCTATTCCATCGATCTGTGTCTGTTTCTATGCCAGCGCTATACTATTTTGATTTGTTATAGCTAATATAGTTTGAAATCAGGAAGCATGACACTTCCAGCTCTGTCCTTTCTCAAGACTGCTTTGTCTATTCGGGGTCTTTTGTGGTGCCACACAAATTTTAGGATTGTGTGTTCTATTTCTGTGAAAAAAAACATTGGAATTTTGATAGTGATTTCACTGAATCTGTAGGTTGCTTTGGGTACTAGGGACATTTTAACAGTATTAATTTTTTAATTTGTAAGCACAGAATCTCTCTCCATTTATTTGTGCCTTCTTTAATTTCTCTCATCAATGCCTTTTCAGTGTACAGGTCGTTTACCTCCTTGGTTAAATTTATTCCTAGGTATTTTATTCTTTTCGATGAAATTGTAAATAGGATTGGTTTCTTAATTTCTCTGACATATTCTTGATTTCCTCAAAATATAATCCAGGTAACTTTTTTTTGGATATGTTTAGCTGATGTCATCCCTTATTAAGGTATCAGAATGTGTATGAACAACTATCAGGATTTCTGATTTTCCTATTGTACTTTCTGGGAACAAGAAAAATCCTCTATTTTTTCTTCCAGTGAAGACATTGACACCTAGAGATATTACATGTTGTCTTAGCCTTGTGGCCAGAACCTACAGCACATGACTCTTGATAGTCAAGTGTTATCTTCACTATTAAAGACAGAATAGATACGGTGTGTAACTCATATCCTCTCTTCATATATTTCCATAGTCCTCTCTTTCAAATCAACAATGGCATCTTAGTCTACAACTCAACTATTTATTCACAGTAAAAACCAAATTAAACTAACAGGATTATCTATTCACTAACTTACTCCTTTGACATCTGAGCGATGTTCTCTGAGAAAAATGTTACAGAAGGAGTCAGATAGAATTCAGAAAGTATCACATAACTTCATAGAGTAAGTTTTGTGTAATGGCTCATAGTTGTTAAGAACAGTTGCCTAAATCAGGTGTTGGCTAGGTCAACTGAACTTAAGTTGCATTAAGTATTTATTGCACAGAAAAAAATATTATGGAAATTCAGCCTTGTCTATCAAAATTGGCTTTTTTCATTATCAGATTTTGACACATCTACTAGTTTTTCTTTTACATAGGCAACTGCAAAATGTGTTACCTTGATGATGAGGTTCTCCTAAATAGACAACATAAAGGAAAATAAAATTTGCTAATGTTTTATATTAATTTCCAATTAGCTATTTCTATCTGTTAGGTGTTTCACACAACTGTAGTAAAATCTGATGCTCATAATACAGCTGTTAGTAGTTGCTTGTGAATTGATTACAACTTGAAAAGATGTTGGATTGCCACAGAGTTCTGGGACATAATTTATTACTTTTTATGTATGAGGGGAGTAACTAGGAACACTATATTACCTCATTTTAATGCTCATGGATAACTTGTAGGGTTGTCATGTCCTATTTAACTATTGTGAAACCTGGGTCAAAGAGATCAGGTAACTTGTCTTAGGTCACACAGCTAGTAAATGTTAGTGCTTAATTCAGTCCCAAGGCTGTTTATCACCAAAGAACTTTTTACCCCCAAAGCACCCCGACCCTCACCACTAGGTTCCATTATACCGTAGTGACTTTCAAAGACTTTTGGACATGACCCACAGAAAGAGTTACGCTTTACATCACAATCCAGTGCCTACATCCGTGTACCTACATAATAGAAACAAAATCTTCACAAATAGTTCATTTATTGACTGTGATACCATGATGTACTCTGACTCTTTCTATTCTATCCTATTTTCAAAAAAATGGTAGTTGTGACCCACTCAATTGATAAAATGACCAATTACTAGGTCTCTATCTGTATTTTGAAAGCTCCTGATTTAAATGCCTTTAGACATCTTCCAGTCTACCATCCAATTATAAAAAGTATGTGTTGAATTTTTACTAATGAATCAAAACTATGGATCAGTTACTAGAGGTCATCTTAATAATATATTCCAAATTTTTTCTCTTCTCTGGTCCTTGAATACACTAATGAGATCCTTATCTTCAGAAAAGCTGCTGATATAAAGCACAATGCCTTATCACTAAAAAATCAAATAGGACACAATCTAAGAAGGTGTATGTAAGCAGGAGGAAACACGTTAGAGCCACCTCAATCTATGTATGTTGGTCTATGATATCAAGAGCATTGAGTTTTGTTCCCAAGATTAATGTCTTTTTGTGAAAACACTTGAGAGTATCAAACACCACCAGGGTACCAAGAATTTGAGCCCAGCTCAAAGGCGTTATTGTGTTCAAGCCTATTTCCTCCAGCCTCTCTCTCCTATCTACCCTCTGTCCCTTGCTCTAGTTTCATCTCCCTGTCCATGAGGTCCATGCTGTACAACCAAGGATTGCAGAGATGAAGGCTGACAGGTACTGGAATTGATCTCTTCCCTGATCCTTCCTCTACTTCACCCCATGTGGCCTAATCTTCACTATACATTTTTTAAAGATACTTGCAAAGTATAATATAGTTTCAATGCACATGTATATACTTTAATGTAAATAACCATTCTGGCCAAGAAAGGACTTTCAGTACTCTCAGACAAGCAAATGACTCTTGGTATATAATTATACTTTTTTTTTGTATGTATGAAAAAATTTTTTTCAATGAGCACCTAATTCCTAGAGCTCCACTGAAATGTTTTAGTTTAGTTTAAACCAACTAATACTTTCTAACAAGTGTGAGTCTTTCTCTGAACATCTACTGAAATACCAACATGGAGGACCAGTTTTACAAATGTCCTTAAATTGAACACAAATATCTTTTGCATGGATAAACTACTAAGAGCGATAGAAACTACAGCAAAATTATTTCACTAATTCAATATTTTATTTGGTGTCAAGGCATATTAAATTTTTGAGTTAAGTCATTTCATTAGTGAAACAAACCATCTAGAAAATATTATCCATTGTGCCACTAGAATTGAAGAGGAGTTAAGTCTCATTTATTGAAGCATTTACTTCTTTATATCCACTTAGGTATAAAACTTTTGTTAAGAAAGATAACACTTTTTATTGCATTATATAATTTCATATTTTACAGGAGTCAATAATGCAAATTCATAAGCATAAATATACATGATGCAACCATTAAAAGATTTAAAACTGGAAACTAGAATTTTAACAGGCAAAATACTTAAAAATACTTAATATGGCTTTTAAGAAAAGTAACTGTTGAGAAATGATTTGTTATTGCCCCATTCTAGTCATTTCTCATCAAGTGAACATAAAATTATGATCTCTTTAAAATGGTACTTGTTATCTAAGCCAATGTTGCATACATGTAGTATGCAATGATTCAGGCTTTCTTAAATCTACATATATACATATATATAGATATACAGTACACAGACAGTTGTTTTAATACCCCTGAACATCTTGAGTAAAACTATTATGACTTTTCTATTATAAAACTACTTGAAAAGTGGGTATAACTTCTTGGTATTGCAGTTCAATCCTACAGAACTGAAAAAAAAAAACCCTAAATGTTGATTATAAATACACTTTACAAAAAACTGAATAGTGGTCCTGCACTCATACTTTATATTGCAGTGAAAACATGTGATTCATTTAAAGGTATTTACATCTTGTCCTTGGTTTCTGTGTGAAATATACAGAAGAATGAGAATATTGTAGGCAGGCCTATTTGTTAGGTTTTTCTACTTGTTCATTTTTGTGTAAGTTTCAAATCTTCTTTTGAATTGTTTATTTCTATTTGCCTTGTATTACTGCTGCTGCTGCTTCTTTTGGTGTTCTGGGAACACTGGGTGACTTTACTTCTAGGAACAGGAAGAAAAGATTTAACTCTTGAAACACCCAACTCAGTCTTTGATTTACTGTTGCTGCATTCGGTCGCTTGATGGCTGCTGAGAGGACTGACCTCCTGTAAGAAAGGCAAACAAAATAGCTTGTCAATTTGACATTGTTCCCAACTTCTGTGATCAGTCCTAACTTCCTCCTCTCTGTCCCTGAACACGCAGGTAGGAGTTTCTCTCTTAAGTTAAGTTCTCATGAAAAAATGAACAAAAGACAATGGAGGGGAGAAGCTGAATGCTTAATGTCTTATAGACCCACTGGCTGATTTTCATTAGGTCCTTTGTGGTATCACAAAAGTGCTAGACACAGGAGTCAATGAATCGAGTGCCAGAATCCGGGGTCTCCTCACCAGCTGGAGCTGTATGAAGTCCTAGGCCTGAGGAAATCAAACTGGACTACTCCAACCATCTTTAAGCAGTTCTACAATTCAACTCTTTCACCTTGAGCACGTCACTTAATGCTTCTGCCTTTAGATCTAATTGGACTATTACTCAACACATATTTTGAATGTTTAAAAGACAAACACTGTTCTAGGTGCTCGGCTTACAGTAGAGAACGTAAAAGAGCACCATCCTTGCTCTGATGGAGCTTCTGCTGTAGTGAATTAAAGTTCCTGCATAGCAATTCTCTATGACTAAGGAGCTCAAGATCTTCCATTCTTGGAAACTGCATGCTCTTGTCTTCCTAGTGTTTCAGAACTCTTCTGGACCTGGTCTAGGTCTCTCATTTTGCCCCCGAGGAACCAGAGTTGGATAGCGAGGAACCAGAGTTGGATAGGTGAGAGTGATGATGCTGGGATAAGACCTTTTACTCATGCTGTTTTCCCTGATCTTGAGTTCACTTGGGTAGGCCTCACTTCATGTTTGCCAGGTGGCAGAACTGAACTCAAGTGAGTATGGGCTATGACAGGTGAAGAGGAAAGGGTTCCATGGGAAGAAGGAAGGGTGAAGATGGGTATGTTGTTGAAACAGTAAATTACATGTAAAAATAAGTTAAGGACGTTTAAGGACATATTTGGAAAGAAATGGGGTGGAAAATAAGGAGGATGAGAGATCAGAGGTATGTGTTGGAGAGTGGGTCTAAGCCCTGGCTGCACATGAGAATCACCAAGGAGCTTTTAAAAACCCCAACGTCCAGGTTGTACCTTGGACCAATTACATCAGAACCTCTAGGGCATGTGGTCCAGGTACCGGGGATTGGAAAAAAAAAAATCCTCAAGTGGATTTCATTATGCCACCAGAATGAGAACTTCTGCTTTAGGGGGTTTAATTTGCATCTTAATGAGAAGGAAACATTTATTAGTACATTTAGTACATTTATCTACTCTCCTGATGATTTAAATCTGTGTTTTTAAATCTGTATTTATGTAAATTGTTTAAGAAGGCTGGCTGACATGCTACCTGATTAAATAGGCCCCTCTCTGGCCGCATAGGAGAAAGTGATTTCAACTAACACAGACAGCTCTTACTTCTAAAGGGAATTACTTCCTGATAATAGAAGAGACTGGGCATCTAACCAAGAAATGCTCGCTGAGTTTCTCACAGTAGAAGAGGTATGAGCCTGTGAAGCTCTCAGGAGGCTGGCAAATGCCAAATGAGTATACTTCACCCTCTGCTGGCAGGTTCTGAGAAGAACATCTGGCCACGGGGAACAGTCCTCACAATGCGTTCAGTGGGCAAAGCAAGAGGGGGCAGCTGTCCTCCTAATACCCGCATCAAACCGCACATTTGAAAAACTCTATGGTTCTTTCTGAAGAGCCCAGAAAGTATAAAATGATCCATTTTTTAAAAAGGTCCCTTTTAAAACAAAGCTTAGCCTCCCTTCAGTACTATTTTTCTGGACAGTACCTCATTGTAGCAACCCAATATGGTCCTGTGACAGAGAAAAAGAGGTACAAAACTGTCTTCATTATCCAACAGCTGCCACTCACTACCAGTCAACCTTTTTATATAGGAAAGTGACTGGGCCCTGTGGACAGAGTGGCTCATCGCACCCTTTCCCACTGGCTGCTGCGCGAGGAATCCTGAAGAGGGGTCCTGGAGGCCCAAGAAAGGTGTTCTGAACCCCAGCTCCTGAACAAATATTTTCCAGCCAGAATTCTCCGCAGGGACCCCAGGTCACCTCCTTAGTCATCCTCCCTTACCTGCTCTCCAAACTATGCTTTTGCTGTGCTTCTAAACTGTTCCCAATTGGGGGAAAAAAGCAAATACTATACAGAGTAAGCCAGACAGGTCATGCTCTTCTTCACAGATCATGTTATGTATTTTTTATACAAGAACTCAGCCTTGTTAATATTCCCCGCAACACACACAGCTTCCGCGTAACTAATCAGGACTGAAACCTAAGGAAGCCGTGAGAGAGCAGGGGAGCCCAGGGCTGTCTGGTGATCAAAGGAGGGTTAATAATGTAATTCTGCTTTCTGCACTCCCCCTCCACAACAGGTTTGTGTCAGCTGCCATGCGAGCGGATGAGAACAGGATGTGAACCACAATCGACATGGCTTGGTGAGCTTACAAAATATGCATCCTCATAAAATCACTACCGGATAAGAAGTAGTTTTATTGTTTCTATTCACCCAGGAGTACCATGCTGGGCCATCTCAACTCTTGGCATTTATTAACCAATCGTATAAGTTATTTCAAGAGGTTGAGGAATCCTGGCTCTTCTATTTGACATTCTGATTTGTTTTTAAAAGAAAGTCTCTCACTGAAACATGCATGATATGGCAAGTTAAAGTAAACCAGAATGAGATTTTTTTGTGTGTGTGTAGATCTTTATCATCACTCAGCACTTTGCTAAAATTAACTCTAGTTTTCCAAAATAGTGCTCAAATGAAATTCAATATCCCATTTTAAAATATAGCAATAGAAGACAGAAATCTAGTTTCGGCATAAACAAATGGAAAAGACACCCAAAATTCTGGCATCAAATAGAAGGAAAAAGAATGCTTTTCTATGTGATTCTTTCAAGCTATTATCCAAACAGTAATTTTTCTAACCTTGATTACCTTAGAGAACACTTTTGCCTTTATCCTATTTATTTCCCAACTATGGTTTAAAAGTAACTGTGATGCACATTGAAAGATTTGTGAAGTCAAATTCCACAACAGTCCTTCTTTGTCCCCTTTTGGAGGGAAAGGGGACACTTACCTTTTGTGACACTGGCATTCTTGGCTTATTAACAGTTGCTGAAAATGCAGGGTGGTTTCCTGAACGATCAAACCTCCCTAACTCATCCCCGGAATCAGCAATCTGGAAGATACACAGTTTATCAAGTCACCGTGGAAAACCCACAACAGAAGTGGGATCCTTCTCTTACTGTCAGAAGCTCTACAGAACAGACCTGCAAGTCCCATAATGTTCATACGAAGACCTGAAGTCTTCATGTGAAACTAACGGCAAATGCATGAGACATAACCTCTAAGGAAAAAGTCTTTTAAAGTCAGAAGAAGACAACCAGATGAGCCCTGTTAAAAAAAAAAAATCACTTGGCACAAAATGAAAGGACATAAAATTTGCAAGATTTTCATTGTTACCTTATTTTTCCAGAGGTTAAGTATTTCGACGCATTTGCAGCAACATTAAATAAGCTAGTCAGTTCTACTTTGGCCAGAGATTAGGACTGTCTAAATACAATAGGTGAGTCTTGGGGCATAAGCTGCACAAGTTATAACTACCTTCTTATGCTCCCTTTCAAGTAAAAGGCATTTATCAAGGAAGTTTGGTCAAATCTGCTGCAGATATCAGGTGCCAAAACAGGTTGAACTTGATGCTGTTAATGCTTCGGGATTTTGGGTCACTGATTTCCGGATTTGGATCTCAAATTTCACAGCTTGAAGACTTTGACTAAACAGATTAGACAGGCCACTTATTTTTTTTATTTGTAAGGAAAGTTGCCATTCTATCCAGAATACAAGGCTGCTGTAATGCTCTCTTACTGACTGGTGACTTATGGGCCAAAGTTAGGAATAAGAAAAGGAAAAGGATGTATTGGTGTAATTTGTGGTAACGCAATGAACACTTCAGGATTGTCAGAGAAGGTGTGCTAAATAGAGCTCCCTTACTGTAGAAGGGGTATTTTGGAAGAAAGGGCTTTTCTAAGCAAGGTAAGGGATGTTCTGATTTGGAGCATTAACATGCTATTTGATAAGGAATTTCTGGCGGGGAGTGAGAGTTATGACGTGGCTCTAAGAAGTCTCTCGAATGCTGGGTGGAACCATTCAGTGTCCTCCCCCAAGCGTCCTGCTTACCTTGCTTATATCAGATTCAGACTTGCTGGAGCACATGCTCTGAAGTTCCGTGACAAGGTCCGCTTCATCATCCGAACCCAGAGAGAGTCTTTGATCCAAATTCAACGCCAAAGATAGATCATTCTCTAGAGACCTAAAAAGTTTTTAACATCCTTTAAAGGCATCCATCAATGTCACGCAACAACCCACTCCCACCCACTCCCGCTGGACTTTGAAAACTCCCACTTAAAATTCTCAATAGGGTAAAGTTTTACTACACAAAGAAATCTACTTTCACTTAAAACATTCCAGTCTTACTCCTCCCTCTTCTTCTCTGTCTCCAAAGATAAAGCTAAGACACTGTGTGCAGGGGGCAGTGTGATAATGGAGTAAATAGGAATTTACCACATATTAGCAATATGACCACAGGTCAGGTTTTCTTTTTGTCCTCAACACCTCACTCAGTTCCTGGGTTCCCTTCTCTCTAACAAATTCCTTATACCTACAACATAGAGTTATTACAAATATTATATAGGCTGTTGAATACAACAGATCTAACAGTGGACCCGGCGGAAACAAGCATGTGATGCAGATTCAATGACCCCCTCACCCCCTTCTGTAATTCTGTGAACCAGGGCACAGGGTCCTAAATGCTACCTGCCAAGTGATTGAGCACACAATTTACTGGGCTACACTGGGGACCTATTTACAAACTACCAAGCATTTTTATTCTATGATTAATAATTCCTTATTTCAGCTTGCTTACAAGTTTGGTGGTATAATCAACAATTCCCTAGGAGCAACATAAGAAAAAAAATAAGTCATGCTAGGTTTCTGTAAATCTATCATTAAAAAAAAAAACGGGGCTTCCCTGGTGGCGCAGTGGTTGAGAGTCCGCCTGCCGATGCAGGGGACGCAGGTTCGTGCCCCGGTCCGGGAAGATCCCACATGCCGCGGAGCGGCTGGGCCCGTGAGCCATGGCCGCTGAGCCTGCGCGTCCGGAGCCTGTGCTCCGCAACGGGAGAGGCCACAACGGTGAGAGGCCCGCGTACCACACACACAAAAAAAAGGTCATCTAAAAGTCTGTTTAAAAGTTCACAAGTGCAGGACGTTACAACATCTTTGTCAAATGCATTAATAATAACTATCAAATTTGGTACAAAATGAAGCCAAAGATAAAAGCAAAATAGGCTAAGAAACTTTAAGAAATTCATAGTTGCACAGACTAATCATGAGAATGTGTATTGTTTGAGTTAAATCTACAGGGGAAACTTACTTTTGTTTTGACAGAGCAGCATTCCTGTCACAGTTCAGCTGTAACATCGTCTTATTTTTGATACCTGTTTAAAGAAAAAAAATGTAATCACATTTCAACAGAAAGTCCCTGTGCATCTTGAACTCTGTATTTAAAAGAAACAGGCTATGGACTCTGCTGTATTTTCATATTGTTTTTGGATTAGATCCATCTCTTGAAGCCCTGTGGAAGGTCAGGGAATGACCAACAACCTCATGTATTGATATATTTATGACTAAAGACGGTACAACTCACACCACCTGAGGCTCAATTCAGGAATCCTGAACTCTGCTTTCATCAATGGACCCTATTCTAACCAGTCAAGCCCCCACATCCTTAGGGCTTTGTTCTCAAAGTACCTAAAAAGGGGTTAATACGTGCCTTTTGATGATGGTAATTTCCCTTTCTCTCCCTTTGTTTGCCTTCCATGTTACTGACTAGTTACTGACTGTAGATCTGAAGCAGTTTTTGATGTCTGGGCCCCATGATATATATACAGTGTGGGTGGCCTTGGTGTGTAGAAATTTAACTTTTAATTGCTTTGCGTTTTACGGAAAACAAAATAGGAACAGTATACAAAAAGTCACAGCATTAAAACAAATACTGCATATCACACCAATGTTCTTCAAACTGCATATTTCAACGCATTTAAAAAAACAAACAATAGGAAATATCAGATTGCACAGGTTGCAGTAAATATATAAATTTGTACCAGTTATAGATACATGCAAATGCATAGGTTTGTGTGCACTGGTCAGGCTTTAAAATATATTTCTCACTATGGGTTACGGTCAAAAAAGTTTGAGAAACACTAAAACATTTTAGACTCAAAATGTCTTTCTATAATACACACTGTAATTTTATAAGTTCATTAACAGAGTTGCTTCTGAGTTAATTCTAAAATTGTACGAATGGTGCTAGCACAGATTAATCTCTAAAGAATGATTTTGAAAAGTAAGTCGAATTTGATATATCCTGATTAAAAGCAGATCATCAAAGAATCTCTGTATATTTCCTCATCCATACTTTTGTCATTGTCAGAAAGCAATGACTAGTAGGTTTCCCCTAATTACCATGTAAGTGCACAGCCTTGGGCCCTGCTCTCCAGAAGCCTGTGACCAACCCCTCAGCCTTGGTTTAGGTCAGGAAATAAAAAGGCTGTGTCTTTATTAAATTTTATGAGTTTCCACAGTGGTCTGCATGGAATGCAAAAGGGTTCTATTTTTGGTTTTTTTCTTTTTTAAACCAATGATGTCAAAAAATCAAAAATCAACCCAAACATGGTTGTAATAATTTTATATTTTATTTTATTTTTGCCGTACACGGGCCTCTCACTGTTGTGGCCTCTCCTGTTGCAGAGCACAGGCTCCGGACGCGCAGGCTCAGCGGCCGTGGTTCACGGGCCTAGCCGCTCTGCGGCATGTGGGATCTTCCCGGACCGGGGCATGAACCCGTGTCCCCTGCATCAGCAGGCGGACTCTCAACCACTGCGCCACCAGGGAAGCCCTGTTGTAATAATTTTTATATCAAATGTAATTATTAGAAAAAGTTACTATTATAAAAAAAATTAAAAACTAGAGGCATGTCCACCTTTGGTCCTTAACCAATCAGTGGTTCACGCACCTAAACACTGGCCAATGCATTTTATAAACCTCTGCGTTGAAGTCAGTGTAAACTATGGTTGCACACAATTTTATTCATCGACGTTTTCATGTTTCAAAGAATATTTGATATATCCAATAGCTGTACAACTAGTAATTATTTTAAAAATATAAATGAATTTAAAATAATTTATAACTCAATTTTGCCTGATACAGTCTGCCAAGTTAGACTTACTTCCATAATATTGTTTTAAGTTCATATTCACTTTATGGATTTTGTCTGTCAACTCTAAAGTATTGATATATATTGACAATGCTTATTGTTCAGGAAAGCAGCTGGTCCTGAGCCCTAAAGGAATTCTAATGCACTTGGAAATGATACAGTGAAGAGCCTGCACGGGTGTCCTTCTTTGAGTGCCATGCATTATTATGAGTGGCACAGACTGAAGAAAACAGCATTGGACTCGCCAGGAACGAAAACAGGGATTGCAGAACCCCCCGTTTGTAGAAGTGAATTGGAGCAGGTAACCAAGGGTTTCTGAGCCTCAGTTTTGCTCTCTGTAAATGGAGATGATAATCCTCCTCGTAGAGCCCTTCTGGATACTCTCAAGGGATCAACAGGTAAAAGGTATAATCCTTGTTACAGAAAGTCATCTGAGGGAGACTCTTTGCTCTACTGGGGGGCTAGAGTCTCATGACTTTATTCCCTGAATCAAACACTCTAACTTTAGGAAGTAAGGGCAAGCCTTTGGGATCAGAATGTATCCCATTATAAATACATAAAACTTATCTTTACAATGAGAGTTTATATTTTTTTTCAGTGACTGTCCATTCAGTCATTTTAAAAAGTGCTCACAATTTATTTTCACATACTTGGGGTAATTACAGAACTCTGGCATGTACTGATATGGTTAAAACCATATTAAATTTTTATTAAAAATCAATATAAGCTTCAATATAAAAATATAGTAATAAAAGCAACTTTTTCTGCTCTAAGAAAGATTTTAGGCATCATATTCTTTTATTTAGCAACCCCATTGCTGTCAACTTGCCATAAAATTACATAAAACAGAACATTTTGGGGTGCAAGGGGGCTCCTGAAGACCTCAATTACATGTAACAGAAATCCACAATGCATGTGAGGTTGGAACATCTTTTCAAATATGATTGCCTTTAGGGAGGACATTTAAAATTTGTACAACTGATTATGCTATTATCAAAGCCAAAAGGAAGAGGTCTAATAATTTATTAGAATGTAAACTTTATGAGGGGAGGTATTTTTATCTCCTGTTTTCACTGCTCTATTTCCAGTGCTTAGAATAAAACTTGGTACACAGTACATCCCATGTATGAAAAAAATGTGTAAAGCTGACTCACTTGTAAAGACCTTAAACTGGTATCAAATACGTCTATAACACATACTTCTAAAAATTTAAGGTTGGCTTAGGAATGCATATTGGCATATTTCTTTCCTTTTATGTGTCAATTTGTATTACATAAATATAATTGTGTGCATCCCAAGAAAATCAAATTAATAAAAAGCAGATGACCATTAACATGGTAAAGATTTAATTTCAGAATTCTAGTATGAAAGATTATTTTTTCAGGTAGGGGGCTCTCAAATATTTTTGGAGTGTAACTACCACGTGTTTTATTCCATGAAAATATGTATCTGAAATACTCAGAATTTTGCTTTGTTGAATGCAGAGTGATAAAAATAAAGCACGTTTGCATTCAGAAACCACCTCATGGATGCCCACATACGTGTGGGTGACATGCCTGCCCCCCTTACCTTCCTCACTCAGGTCCGGCTTGTTCCAGGTGGGTGAAGAGAACCGGCCAGACTTCTTGCGAGGACTGGTGCTCACCTTTCTCCAGGCACCACTCTCTTTCTTCTTGCTGCAACTGTTGTAACTTGAAACTATGGATAAAGGGAAACTTCCTCCTTTGAAATCAGCTGTATGCTGGTCTAGCTCTGAAATAGCATAAACCATGTTTTGTCAAAAGGACAGAAGCAATAATGCAGTTTCAGAATCGAGTAAAATCCAACATTTCCAATACTTAAAGAAATAGCCTCTTCAAAATCACAGGCTTGTAATACCCAAGCAGGCGTTTTGTCAACCAGCAAACATTACTTTGAAGTCTGGTATTTAAACGTGAGCCAGTAATGAAAAAATAGAGAGTTCTAAAGCTGTGTTGTGCAACATCCATTACATGGAGATAATTTCTCTCATTACGAAGAGAGAAAATAGAGCACCCTAAAAACAAATTCAAGCAAGCATTACATAAGAGTGTGAATTTCCTCTCCTCCCAGCATGAACCCACATACCTGCTCTCTGGAGGGGACAGCCATGCAGAACAGCTTTATTAAGCAAGATGCTGAGAGCAGCTCTAACCACAGCCTGCTGTCCCTGGCTAGGGTTTTTAGTTGTTTGCCCACGGCTGGGTTGTCTTTTCACAGAGGCTCTTGACAATATTGCTTCTTGAACTCTGGGTGCAATGACAGCATTCCACAGCTTAGACATCCACCTTCCGAGAGAGGAGTGGGTTTCACAGTTAGGACCAAACCTCTCAGGAATCACACACAACTCTACGGGGAACAGGTTGGAAGACTGTGCAACAAAACCTAAGTGTTTCTACGGACAGGCTACCTTTCCCAGGTCATTTTGGAATACGTGAAATTATCCAACACCAAAGTAGTTTGAATTTGCCTTAAAAATACAATGTATTTCAAATGAAACTGCTAACATGTCTCTCACATTTTTCTTTATAAGACCCTGGAGAGCTGGAGTGTTGAATGCACAAATAAAATTAAATATATGGAAAGGGAAAAAATACATGGAAAACTTTATAGACTAAAGAAGTCTGGAAAAAGATTTCCTGAAAGTCTGTCTAAATAGCTTAAACTTATTTGCCATTTTCCTTAATAAGATGCATATATTGTATTTTAGTATTTCTGCAATTGGGATACATTTTATGATCCCTGGCAAATTAAATCTGCCTGCCCCAAGGCAGGGGCTCAGCGTCTGCACGTGGTGGGTTAGCCCTGTAGAGAGGGGATGGGATCAACCAGCCACGGCCTCAGGTGGACTCTTTGCATTAATAGCTGTAGCTGCTGCGGGACTTCAGCCCAAACGTGGAGCACTTAGTGCCAATCAAATTCCTTCAAAAAAGATTACACTTTGTTGCAGCATTAAAAAACAGTTAATACAGTTAAAGGCTGTAGACAAAACTCCATCTCCCAGAATAGGAAAGTTTTCAAAGTTATTAGATACTGACATAAGCCTTTCAAGACCCTTAAAACTATTTACTCAGTATCAAGCATCTATTGTCAGCTGCTTTGTTAGTGTCTAGTGACACGTAATTCAGGGGGAAAAAAAGTACACAGGAAAAAAAAGTACTCCTAAAGGTGCTGAAGGGGTAAAGATGATATAACCCTTGGCTAAAACAATATATAATTTTTTTAAAAAGGCAGCTCCTTAATATGGCTGTTGGGAGCTAACTCTCCGTGGCATTTCTGTACCTCTTGTGTCAGCTGTTGCTCTGGATTATCTTTTCAAGGCTGTTTTACTATCGTAAACCGACTTGGAAAAACAGAGATAGTGTCTCCTTCTGGAGCAGAGGGCAGATTTGTTTCCTGACGATAATGAAAGTTATATGTCCTTCCTGGGCAGATTTGCCAGCATCCCCGTTAGAAAACTGGGTGATTCCCAAGCTCACAGTTCCACAGCTTTGATGCAAAGCCAGCATCCACCTGGGCCAGTATGCATCACCCCATAGGGCCTGAGGAGGTGGGGAAACCAATGCAAATACGAAGCCTAGGCTGTGGCTGTGCTCTGAGTGATGCAGTGCTGGGTCAGAAGCCACATCCTGAATGTGGCAGGCTAACCTGTCAGCTTGCAGATAAGGTTAACAATCTCAGAGCCTCTAGCTCTTGACAATGACCATGCAGCAGACAGGAAAGGCCAAAACTGCTTCCTAAGAATCCTGAGGCTCTGGACGTTAAAAAAAAAAAAAAAAAAAAAAAGGCTTAAATTTACTCATGATACTGATAAACAAAGGGGTAATTAAATGAATAAGTGTATTTCTGCTTTTTAACAAGAAATTGCTGTATACTTTTTAATATAGCACTTCTTGTGTTCCCTCAATTAGCTGTTATTAAACTGATAGCTTGTCTTACAATAGAGAAGACATATTATCTGCATACCCCGCTTTCCAAAATAGATTTCTGTCCAGGATGCCAGAAAGTACAGAATCAAATCTAACAGCGAATCACAGAACCCTTACTAAGTAAGCTGGAATGGTGACAAGTTTTTTCCTCCTTTCAATTTCCTTCTAATTTTCTATTTCATTAACCTTACTGTATATATGTCTGTTTTCATAAGCTGCTCTAAAACACAGTAAGTACATAAGTCTCATTAATAAAAGAGGAAGCTTTTCAATTCATCGACAGAATGTAAGTGGGTTTTTTGGGGGGTGGGGTAGGGGGATGGTTACAGGATACTTGACCTAATGTCTCATGTGGGCCTTCCCCAGGAGACACTGCCCAGCAAGTCGCACACGAGTCTGATGAAAGTTTTGTAAACAGGGAAATTGGGATCTATCCAGTCTTAGCAAAATAGTTTCCTTAGGAAGTACCCACCACATGAGTCACGGTCGTCCTCTGACAGGAGCACAGGGCACTGGCTTTCCGTGTTCACAACAAGAGGTGGCACAAGGTGGCCCCTTCAGCTTTCTCACCCCCAAACATTCCCTATCAGCCAGGGCTCTACTTTAAATAGGCAAAGAAGGATCGATGACACTTACTTCACTGTCGCTTGGGCGTGCCCTGGGATTACAGGACAAGACAGGAAATACTTTGGCCCAAGAAGTGCTTCCGGTGTGCCCAAGCGGGCCAGGCACGAGTTGAGCTGGCGCCAGACAGCCAGGGCCCAGTCGACCGTCTTGCACACGGGGTCGCAGGGAGAGGGCACCTGACCCCTGAACTAGAGACAGGGAGGGGGAAGACGGGGGCTTGGTTTAGAACAGTGCTTCTTGTCCTTTTGTTTCGAACACTCCAAAATTAAAAATATAAAAATTCAAACTGTACAACGAAACTGTAGCCAAATCTGATTTTACCTTCACTTGGGGTGGCTGGAAGAGGGCCAGGTAATAACATACTCTATGACGTGTGTTAGCACGAGATACAGATACAGATCTGCAGCTTATTACGTGCAATGAAAGGATTCAGACATGATAGTGCAGTAAGACACCTTGGATGAGGTGTCTTACTTGGATGAATTCTTAAACATCAATTCGGGAAGAAATCGTTTTTCACATGTGTATAGAATTCCTCACAAGGTCTTGCAAATAGCAGGTGTTCAAAAAAGGATTCTGAATAAATGAAATTAAAATTACATTAAATATTTTAATATTTTTTGGGTAAGTTATAAGATGGCATACCTGGATCTGTGGCATGTTCACCTTGTATTACTTCTAATTCCCCTAGAAGGAAGGCTCAGCTAAAATGATAACTTCATCAAAATGCTCTGACAGCATATAGAAGTATGTTTTCAAGTTTTAAAATGTGCAAATTTTAAGTAATACTGTATAACACACAGCTGAATGGGAGAATTACATCTTATAGTTGAATAGTTAATTATATCTTATAAAAGGTCCCTTTTTGGTAGTACAGAGGGGTCACAAAAGGACAAAGATTTATTTACTATGAGGAGAAATCTCTCAAATATTTAGAAGTCAGATACAGCAATTGACTCTGTATTTTATAAGAAAGCAGATTCACATAAATCTCTACTTTACCAAGGAATTATGATATTAAGACTGAGGATAATACATGAATGTTTTTATGTCCTACATGAAGGGATAGAATTTGGCCTAGAAAAAAATGAAAGAGTGGTTCAGTGATTCTAGCAGCTCCGTTAAAGTAACATCACTGTGTTACATGAGGCTTTGGGATCTGTTTATCATAGTTTCCCTTTTCTTCAAAAGAGGAACAATCATATTTCTCCCACTTTCTCTGATCCTCTTCCAGAGAGAATGAGATCATGTGCTACAATTAATAGCTGAATATTAATTTCCTACTAAATAAAGTATAAATATTTTTTATTAAATACTAGAAGCCTGGTATTGTCCAAAAAAGGTCTGCTTACTTATATCCCTGTGAGGAGCTGGAAGAAGAAATTTTGATCACGTGCCAGTGTGCTTCTAAGTGCCCCCAAGTATTTGGTTCCATCCTGCAGTTACAAGATTTCTGGCGTTTTGCAGGAGTCATTCATTCCCATTGTACTCCTACCCTGGAATCCGTTTTATTAACCTACTTGAAGTGATTCCTGATAAATGAAAGGCATTACCTCCCCTCCCCTTTCTATTCTTCACAGCACACCCCACTGGACCATTCGCAAACACAATGGAGGAAAGTGTAGAGCCTGAAGCTTGGAACTTTCCTTTCCAAATAAGTAAAATCAATCCTTTTCAAACTATGTTTACCAGAGAGCCAGAGGAGGGAAAAGGAGGTACACTTTACCAGGTAAGATGTACCTTTCAAGGAAAATTAGCATGGCCCCTGTGCAAGAAAGACACGCAAATTCGTGAAGCATTCCATGTTTTTCTCTTGGGCAAACCAGGGATTTTGATGTGTCAGTGTAGGTTCCTCCTTGATAAGAAAAGGCACCGTTCTGGTGATAATGGAGGAGGCTATGCATGTGTAGGGAGCAAGAGGTAGATGGGAAATCTCTGTACCCTCTTTTCAATTTTATTGTAAACCTAACACTGCTCTAAAAAAAAGTCTTTAAGAAAAAAAACTGGTATCTTTTGCAATTATTTAGGTGAATTTTTTGGCAATAAGATTTAAATATTAATAGTGATGAAGTTAATGGAAGTATCAATAATCTGAAAAGCTGTATACCTATGACTGTCTTTGCCTCACCTTTCTTCCTACTGGTTGAGGTCATATAATAGATGTGCTTTGGTCAAAAGAATATATTTACGACCAGGCAACTGACTTTAGCAGAGCTTGGGACAGAGGATTTCTGATTCAATTAGGAATTTCAGATATTAACGCAAATCACCACTAGCAGGCACTGTTCACTGAATTACCAAAGGCATTCCCATCCCACACTTCTCCCTCCACCCGCCTCCCATGGCCCCAACTCCACAACCGCACATACGTTCACACACTCTAACATAACGGACACCGAATTTTGTTCAGGAACTTGGTGGAGAGCTTTGGCCTTGGGAAGGTAGTTCTAGCCAAGGTCTCTGGCGGAGAGGTGTGCATGAAACCAGTCTGGTGAATGAAACCATTCAGGGGAAATCTTCTTTCTGGGAGTTTCAGAAAAAGATTCCTTCCCCCTGATAATGAGGAGACAAAGGAAGCCGAAGTTCCCTCTCTGCACAGCATCCTGCTTCCTGCCTATGAACAAGTTTGTGTGAGGGCGTGATGCCCAAAGTCCTGCAATCCTGAAGGGAGGTCAAGAGACTCACCCAGACCTGGGACCTGACATCACAGAGGTGTGAATGGACATCATCAACACCTACTGCAAGGCATCTGGTTATGTAAGGGAAAAAAGCCTTCTGTGTGTGTGAAGCAGCTAGCAGTGGGGTGTTGTGTTACCTACAGCTTAAAATCCTGTGCTGATACAATGAAGATCCTGTCCTCCAAGTGTGGCCCAACTGTGCAGGATTAAGTGATAAAATCTTGCTAAATCGAGCTCTTTTATTTCAAGTCCACCCAGACACTCAGCTACTGGCCCAACTTATGAATATTAAATAGTGATATACTCGAGTTGGTCAGCACTGAATTAATTTTGTTATCTTGATAGAATACAGAATATTTTATTATTCTGAAAAATCACTAAAGGTGATTATTATTCTTGAAAATGTGTCAACAGATAGAGATTTCTAATTTTCTTCATGTGACTTTTTAATAGCGCACTGTAACAAATATTAAAACTAGCTTGAGGGATGGATAATGAAGGCTCCAAGGAAGCAGTAGCTTTTCCTTAAGAAGAGTGATTAATTTTCTAATCTTGTTTCCCACAGCGTTTAGAACTTGGAGAGACTCCTCGAGAATAGTTAATAAAAAAAATAAAACCTATTTTTTAAAATACTTAATATAGTCCAGAAACTGCTATGGGTTTTACATGCATTATCCTATTTAACCCTTGCATATCCCCAAATTTTACTCGCTGGAAGCCACACAGTAAGTGGTACAGCTCAAGCCTGGGTCACCTGACACTAAAGGCCCCTCTCCCAGCAATAGGCTGTGCCTGTGGTTTGTTACCTTATTCACGACTTTCCTCCTTAGGAACCTCTGCAGCAGCCCCTGCATGGGCTCGCCATCCCACCGCAGCTGTACCCAGCGGAAATGCTGCTGCACCAGCAAGTCGGAGCCCTGGAGACAGGCCTTGGCAATGGTTCCCAACAAAAAGCAGTTCTCATGAAAGTAATAACATTCGGACGTTCTGTTTCCTGAAACAAACCAAAAGCAACAGTCCAACCTCAGCAAGCCACAGTAGGGGACAAGTTCAAATAAGTGAAAGAAAGACAACCATGAAGCATAACATGTGCTCTGGGAAACAGAAAGATTAGAAGGATCTCAAAGCAGCCTGCTTCTCAGCATGGTCTCTCTACCATCTTTACCTTTTTGGAAAGTACAGGGGCTTTCAGTGCTGCGATTTTCCAGAGGTCCCAGAAAGTCCCCCAGTAACTCAGACAATGAAGATTTTTCCAAATTCTCTAAGATGATGATGATTTTCTTGTTAGCAGGAGATTGTTTCACTGGGATCAGACATGCTGTGGTCAAAAAGGAAATTCAGTGATTAAAGATTTTACAAAAACCTATAAAAACTGGCAAAGATTTAAGTGTTAGCAAAGACGTGACACAATGGGAATGCTCTGACATTGCTGGGAGAGTACAGGATTCTGGAAAACAGTTTGGCATTACTGAATACAGTTGAAGATACACAGACACAATGATCCAACATTAGTTCCACAACAGATTCCAAATGGAATCAACTCGAATCTCTACCAACAACAGACTAGATAGGAGTATATTCATACAACGGATATGAAAGTGAACAAATCACAGCTACAAGCAACCGCATGAAGACTTGTCACAAACGATATATTAAGAAACAAATCACAAAAGGCTACACACAATATGATGCCATCATTTGAAGTTCAAACAGGGGCAACACTAACCTTATAATTTAGGGATTCATAGATAGTAAAACTATTTTTAAAAAGGAAAGAAATGATTATCACAGAAGACAGACTAGTGGTTACCTCCATGTGCCCCACCCCTTGTGAACAGGGGTGGGGCACATGGGCCCATTCTGGAAGCTGAGAATGTTCTATTTTGTGACCTGGTCAGTGGTTAAATGACAATTTTATTTTAAATTATTCACTGATCTGTAAAAATAGGCAGTATGTATTTTATAGATGGATATTTCAGAATACAAAATGTTAAAATCCTTAAATGATCTTTAAATTACACATATATAAAATATTCATAAAATTACGGAGACAGGAACTCAGAGACCAGCAGGTCCTTCCTAGGTCCCTCCTACAGGCTCTTACTGCTGAGGTGAGGACAAGAGGTAACAGGAGCCTCATCCAGGGCCAAGGCACAGAACAAAAGGATAGTCTGAGATGAAGTGAGCAAAGCTCAGTGGCTGATGTCTTGAGAGAGGGGCGGAGAGGGAATAGCAGAGACAACTCACAAGTTCCCACCGGAGAAGAGGCCATGCAGTGAATGGAGACAGAGGGCACATGAGCAGGAAAACGCTTGAGGCAGGGGAGGTGGTGATGGGTTATGTTTCAGGCCTGAGTGATGAGTGAGGCATTGCTCTTGAGATGTCCAGCAGGGGCTGGGACAAAAGGATGGAGGCAGCAAGGGAGGATTCAGGCTGGAAATAAACGAGTTTATAGGACTGCAGGATGTCTCTTGGAAAGACACAAACTCATTCTCCTGAGTCCACAAGCAAGGACTGTATTGTCAGTGACTTAATTAACCCCACATTTAATGGACAGCTTGTGCCCTAGACAAAAGGGGTGTGGGGTGCTGTTCATAACAGTTGGGTTGGGTTTCCACCTCATCTTTGTTCATCTTGGTCTCCTCTGAGGTACCAATCAGGGTCAAACAGACTGGGTTTTTTGGTGAAAAGCTTTGTCTTCAACGCTGATGGCCTCATATGTTCAATTTTTTCAGTAACATCTGCTTCTCCATCTGACCACTTAAGTTCAACAACCTAAAGCAAGTTGGTCCAAATGTAAATTTCATTTTAGTTGTGAAATAGCATGTCTAGTTCAAGTTATTTAACATGGTTTCAATTCTAAAATATTAACCAACCATAGAAACAGAAACTCATTACACCTTTGGGTTTGAAGGATTATTCAGCCTCTGATCAGGGTTCATGGAGACATAAGATGGCCACTCACCCCATGTTATAGCTAGAGATTCCTTTCGGCCTATTGTTGGAAAGTCAGCCATTTGGATTCCCTTTGCCCCATGCTAATTCAAAGCCCTATTTCTGAAACTAATCTACCCTTTTTTTCCCCTGCTTCCAACTTTATAGGTATGTCAGCTCTGCCCCTCTCCAGAGGTCAGTAATGTTAATCAGACACTCACTTGGCTAGGCTCAGGGCTATAGTCCAGTTTTCATACCCTTGTATTAAAAGTTCTGGATAGCTAGTTCTAGAGCAAGACTCATTAGCTTAAAAATAATTAACATATCACATTTATAGTTAAATCCAAACTCCTTTACATCTAAGGTGACCCCAAGTCCATAATCTCCTCTTTGGAGATGGAAGCAGCCCATCTTTTACACTGTCCACTTAAAACAAGGCTCTGCAGGGATGATGCTCTGAGTCCAGATGAGAAGCAAGGGATGGACCTCCAAAGAGCCTCCGGTAACGCAGGGTCCAAGGAAGAAACTCATTTATGTAGCCTTCAATTACATATGATTACAGTAATTCTATCTTTATTACTTCTGAAGTAGAAAGTTCTCTCAGGAATCCTAAGTATTATTTTAAAATACCAATCTAGTGTTTAATTTTTTTTTTTTTTTTTACTACCACTGTCACATGTAATTTTAAAATGTATCTGTCTTGCTAACCTAACTCAATACCTTATACTGAGGAGAAATATGACCCAATTCTAATACACGTTCAGACCCTCCTTACCAAATAATGGAGTCATGTGATGTGATGGTCTCTCACAAAAGTCAGTATGAGAAGGAAGATGTTATTTTAAAATAAACACAAAATACCCACTGCTTGTATAAGGGCTACGCCATTCTTTCTGAACTGATCTTCTGTTCTACATTCTTTTCTTCACTGGCACCATTTTAGTCTCCATATAAGTTTTAGATTCTTTTTTTTTCTTTTTTTTTTTTTTTTTTTGCGTTACGCAGGCCTCTTACTGTTGTGGCCTCTCCCGTTGCGGAGCACAGGTTCCGGACGCGCAGGCTCAGCGGCCATGGCTCACGGGCCCAGCCGCTCCACGGCATGTGGGATCTTCCCAGATCGGGGCACGAACCCACGTCCCCTGCATCGGCAGGCAGACTCTCAACCACTGCGCCACCAGGGAAGCCCCAAGTTTTAGATTCTTAAAGCTAATTATTTAAAAACAAATCTGCTACTCTTCCTTCTTGTATTTTTTCACTCATACACGTCTTTTATTCATTCTCTGTGTCTCTTCACTGGCTTTCTTCTACAGAGTCGTAGAGAGGAACATATAAGGTAATGTATGTGCTATGCCCATTGGAAGATGAAAGTTCAACGTTCTATCCTCCAGCTGAATGGAAGTAGTTTAAACTTTTTTTTTTTTTTAAGAAAATAAAGTTAGAAACCAGAAATAAGTTTAGAACACCTTATGAATCAGTATATTCCTCACCTGGGAGTCATATGATTTGATCAGTTTACTTTCTTCGTAAAAAAAAAAACGCAAGACAGTAGCTGATACATAATCCCTGTCCTCTAATTATTCTAAAAGCTTAAGTGGAACAGCCTAGAAGCTCCTTTTCTCTGATCCAGATCTCAGCCTTCTCTACATTCTGTCCTTTTCCATCACCCTTTGACCAAAGAAAATTCCCTGCTAGGGGCTTTCTGCACTACAAAGGAAGTGACACCACACCACCGGTCCTTCCCTCTGGCTCACTTGTGATTCCCTGGCACTGCTCAGAAGCTTCTGGTGTCCCCATCTACTCAAAGTGTACGTTCTCCGTTCTCCATGATCTCCTCATTGGCCACCAGTCAGCAGCAGTGGGGCCTACTGCTATGAAAATGATGGTGACAGTGGATGGAGTTTTAGAAGATGAGGACGGACAGCAGCAAGGGGAAGATCCAAAGCCAGACGGTAACGCTCTTGACATAACATTCAGAGACCTTCAGCGCTTATTCTGGAGCCACTGGAGTATAACAGCAGGAAATTGTCATGAGCAGTTTTTTATTCTAGGGTGAGCCCTCTGGAAACCTGCAGAGGGCTTGTGGAAGGAGCGAAAGCAGAGGAAATAAGAAGGGTTAGTGATGAGGCCTCCACAGGCCCTTGAGCAAGAAATGATAGGTGGTAGGGGGACTGGAGAGCAGGAGGTGGAGATGAGATATAGGAAGCAGATTCAAAAGAACTCAGGACTGACCAGACGTGGGGAATAAGCCAAATGAGGGATCTATGATAAGCTCCAGGTGCTAACTTGGATAACTGCACTCAAGGCCTCAGCAGGTGAATCTTGTGTTTATATCTTACTTTTGTTATTAAAAAAAAGAAAGAGGGATTTCATACATATAAATTACTAAGCCCAATACAGAATAAAAATCCTTTAGTATTTGGAGATGCTACACTATTTCTTACATAAGAGAGTAGAGTGGAGACTTTTTGGCCTCAGTCTGTCATTTGAAAACTTCCTTTTTTCAAATCCAATTCACTCTATTTTTATGCCCTATCATCAACTACTGTCTCAACAACTTCTGCACTCTCTAATCTTACTTCTCTCTACCTCCACTGTTAGCAAGTTCTTCCACTTGCTGACAACTAAATATGATTAACATTCCCTTTTTCTCTGCGTATGCTACTTCTTGTATCAGGTTCATGCACTCATTCAACAAGTAATTATTGGCAATCAGTGTACAAGGTGGAATGGAAGAATAAGCTACATTACTAGCCTTCAAGGAGCTCGTAACATGTGTGTGGGCCAACACAAAAGCCCAAATAATACCCTCACCGCCTTGAACTACAGTTAGGTGGGGCACAGGGGTAAACAAAGCCTACTGCAGTTCACCAGAGGTAGCTGGCATACCTGGAGGGCTCCGACAAGCCTTCATTTGGGGGTGTCCTCAGAGTATTTAAACAGGGGCTTCCATGTCTATTTTAACCAGGCCTGTACCACACAGTACTTTACACAGTACCTGCCATGCAGTAGTTATGGGTGTGTGTGTGTGGGGGGCAGTTTGTGTGCTTATTCTAGATGAAATTTTAGAGTAATTCTAGATGAATGCTGCAGCATAAACAAAGACATGGACAGTGGGAAAGCAAAGGACATGTGAGGAAGAAATACTGTATTCTGCTGGAGCTTAGATACCTATTTTTAAAAAGGGTCAGATATTCCAAAGAAGATATACAAATGACCAATAGGTACAGGAAAACAGGTTCAACGTCACTAACGATCAGGGAAATGTAAATCAAAACCACAACGAAATATCACTTCATAACTGTTAGAATGGCTATCATCAATAAGAGTTAACAAATGTTAGTGGGGATGTGAAGAAAAGGGAACCCTTTCACATTGTTGGTGGGAATAGAAAAACAGTACGGAGGGTCCTCAAGAAAACAAAAAATAGAACTACCATATGATCCAGCAATCCCACTTCTGGGTATATATCTCAAGCAAATGAAATCAGGATCTTGAAGAGATTATCCACACACCTGTGTGCACTGCAACATAATTCACAAGAGCAAAATACGGAAACAATCTAACTATCCATCAAGAGATGAATGGATAAAGAAAATGTGGCATACATATACAATGTAATGTCATTCAGCCATGAGAAGAAAGGAAATCCTGCCACTTGCAACAACATGGTTGGACCTTGAGGACATTATGTTAAGTGAGATAAGTCAGACAGAGAAGGACAAATACTGCATGATATCACTTGTACGTAGAATCTAAAAAGGCCAAACTGATGAAACAAGAGTAGAATGGTGGTTGTCAGGGGCTGGAGGGTGAGGGAAATGAGATGTCAGTCACAGGGTACAAACTTTCAGCTGTAAGTGGAATAAGTTTCAGGGGTTAATACTGTATCTGTTGTATACTTGAAAGTTGCTAAGAGTAAATATTAAATGTTCTCACTGTAAGAAAGGAATGGTAATTATGTGACGTGATGGAGATGTTAGCTAATGCTACCGTGGTAACCACTTTGCAATATAAAAGTGTATCAAATCAACAAATTGGGGCTTCCCTGGTGGCGCAGTGGTTGAGAGTCCGCCTGCCGATGCAGGGGACACGGGTTCGTGCCCCGGTCCGGGAAGATCCCACATATCGCGGAGCGGCTGGGCCCATGAGCCATGGCCGCTGAGCCTGCATGTCCGGAGCCTGTGCTCCGCAACGGGAGAGGCCACAACAGTGAGAGGCCCGTGTACCGCAAAAAAAAAAAAAAAAAAAATCAACGAATTGTATACCTTGAACTTACTCTATGTTGTATCTCAATTATATCTCAAAAAATTAAATTAAATTAAAAAGGGTCCGATAAGCAAATTAAGTGGATCAGTGTCCTAGAATGGAAGACCCTGAATGGGACTGACGTAGTTCAGTGGGTGACTGGGGCATGTGGGAGTCAAGAATCACAGAGCGCTTTTAATCAGGTGTCTGGTGGTCTGTGAAGGAGCACAAGAGGTAGAAGGAGCAGCCACTTACAGGAAAGTAGATAAAATATAGTAAAAGGAGGCATAAAGGCACACTGAGATCCATCTGGAAGGACATGACCATGGACTGGCTGTGGGACAGGAGTGAGGGGTCCATGACTCAGAGGACCTGGGGGTTCTAGACGGTCCTAACATGGCTTAAAAATTAAGACACTTGAAAACATTGAAAGAAAAACCTCCCAAATTTTCACTTAAGAACCAGGATGTCTGGCTTCTTCCAAGTCACAAGACCTCACGTCACTGAGTCTACACTCAGCTGCTCGCAGCTGGGAGCTGCTGCCCTCGTGGCGATGGAGACAGGCTTCCCCTCCCCTCCAGCCCCAACCAGCCCGCTTCACCCCTTAATGTGGCTTTTTGGCACCCGTGGGCATTTAGGTTTTCAATTCTGCCAGGGGGACCTGAGTTCCAACTGTGGGGTGCCAAGAGACTCACCAAACTGAGAAATTAGGAAGAAGAGTTCTTTCTAAGAAGATGCTCCCCAAGGATTTAGAAATGCTGAGTTGGTCACCTTCGCATCCTTCTTGACCTAATTCACTGCTCTCAGATTTTTCTTTTTCTAGCTCTCTAAGTTTAGAGCAGCATTCAGTCTAATTGCTATCTACTCTGATAGGGTGAGAGCACAATATTTTAACTTCTTACTCTGAAATGAAGCAAGACTGAATGCTGAAAACCATAGGGGGCTTCTGTTATAAAACTAAGGGGAGAAAAAAAAATTGGGGCAGGTGAGTTTTTGAGGAGCAGCGGTGGGCAGTGACTCGGGTCCAGCTGAGAAGCCGGAATGCCTAGTTTGAGTCCTACTGTGCTGCGTCCTCACTGCAGCGTACTTAACCTCTTGTCTCAAGTGTTTATACATCAGGGTGTTTACAGAGTCAAAGCTTAATAGACATTAGCTATTGTTAGTATCATCATCAGAGAAAACAGCTTTTCTCTGTAGCTTACTCTCACTGGTTTCTGACCAAAGACTGACCTGAGCACTAGAACAACATTCAGATGCTGGTGGGATTTTCTTGTCCTCAAAATGTGCTTCTAGGCTTGTGGAGTCCTCAGTTCCCCTCTAAACCTGCCTCTTAATTTTATTTCTTGACTTAGGAACTCCTGGTAATTTCCTTCTTCCTCAACCTGGTCACCAGCTGTCCCAGCCACAAGGTATCTCCCTTGATCACAGCTCCAAAGATAAGAATCACCCCTCTCCCTAAAAAAGAGACCTGAATTCACATTTCAACTCACCCTTCACCCAGCTCACAGCTCCCTCCTTCACCCGCTCCCCAGGGTCCCTGTGGTTTTGAGCCTCTGGAGACCAGAGGTTAGTCCATTTCAGTTTTACTTCACTAGTCATGCTATATACTGTGCAGAGTTACACTAACTCCACCTGTGCTGAAGCTTGGGGTGTTACGCTCTGGAGCCTAAGATAGAAAATTTATGAAAACTTTTATTAATAAACATGTTTAATCACGGTTCTGCCACTATGTAGTGGTGGTAAGTTACTGAAACTCTCTACGCCTGTTTTCCTCACCTTTGAAATGGAGATAATACCAACTTGCATAGGGCTGTTGTGGAGATTAAATGAGTGAATTCATGCGTGTCATGTGTTCAGCAAAGTGCCAGCCAATGGCATACTAAGAATGACGTGGAGAAAGAAGTGCACCCCAGGTGCAGCAATAGGGGTGCTTTCGTTGCAGAGAATTTATGAATAATAATAACATTTATTAAAAACCTATCCCCTTATTATCACCGTGCAATTCTAAACTGCACCAATAACGCAATGCTTAGTTCTGCTAAGGCAGACTGCTCCCACCACCCCCTCCCCTGGTATCCTCTAGTGCCAGTTATGTAGTAAGCTCCCAACAGATAATTTATAAACAAAAGAAGAAAAATATAGGATGTGCAATAGATGCAATGGTATGTACATGAAAATAATTTTTTGCAAGTGCTCACCCGGGTTCCCAGTTTTCATCCCGCAGCTGCTCCATAACTGAAAAGCCACCTTAAATTGATCCCCAAGCAACAACATTTATTTCCATATAAAGGCTTACTTGAAGGGCATGCCTTTCGGTTATCACAATTCAGTTTGTGGAGATGGTCTTACCGCTACTGATGAACAGATCTACTAGCTGGTCCTTGGAGAAACCAGTATCCACTTCAGCTCTCACTATTTCGCAGGGGAATCCTGCAGCCATTTGTCTGTGCTGTGATAAGAGAGTGATTAGTTCTATACGCTTTTGTGTTTTCAAAGAAAAGGAGAGGGTACGTGAGTGATCCATACCTTCATGCAGAGTGCAAGCTGATGGGCTATGTAGTCTTGCAAGCTTCCTTCTGGGCCGTGGAAAATGACATTATGATATTGCTCGACCTATGAACAAAACAAGAAGAAACCTTAGGTAAAAATGCTATGAAGAGAAAAAAGGGGTACACAAGTGTAGAATTTCCTTTCTGATTGTCACCAGCCTTTCAAAAGATTAAAAATATTATTTTAGGGCTTCCCTGGTGGCGCAGTGGTTGAGAGTCCGCCTGCCAATGCAGGGGACATGGGTTCATGCCCCGGTCCGGGAAGATCCCACATGACGTGGAGCGGCTGGGCCCGTGAGCCATAGCTGCTGAGCCTGCGCATCCGGAGCCTGTGCTCCGCAACGGGAGAGGCCACAACAGTGAGAGGCCCGCGTACCGCAAAAAAAAAAAAAAAAATTATTTTAGGGATTAGCTTCATTCACTGGGCATGTGAAGTCTTTCATTTTAATGTGAAACACTGGCAAACATATTATTTATATAGTATTTTACCTTTTATATAGTACTTACATATTTATAGCAAGAGATGGCATTTTTTTAAAGAGCATACTTCTTCTCCCTCCATTTTCTACACTGAGGTTTAGTATATTAGCTGGGAACACAATTCCTAGCATGTTTTTGTCCCTTGCAGATGTTCCATAATTTTTTTTCTTTATTATCCCTTACAGATGCTCTTTAGTTTGAATTTTCCCAATGCATATTTTACTTTTCAGAGGTTAAAATAGCAATGATTGTTTTTCAGGAAATTTTGGAAAATACAAAGAAAAATAAAGAAGCAGAACAGAAATCACTGAAGCAACCACTGTAAATATTTTTATGTTTCCTTCCAGCTTTTTCCTCTGCATAGTTGATGCGTGTGTATTTGGTTTTTTTCTTTTAAAGAGACAGCCTTTATTTTAAGGATTTTTACACTGAAGACTTCAAAAAGTGGCAGGTTTTTAGAACTTATTGACCTGTATTTAAAAGGAACTGTTGACAAAGGTTCGCCAGAAATAATCTGAACAAGCGGGAAAATACAGTTAATACTACTGAAACCTACTAAAATAACTCCAGGACATATGGTTTATCCAACATAAAGATACCTCTAAATGCTGTCAGTGATATGAAACTGACTGCTTCTTTTCTAAATACACAGTGGTATAATTAACAATATTCAATCACTTCTGTTCTTTCCTGAATATATAAAAATTAAAATACCAATTAAAAAACTAATACATTCTTCTCTTTCAATGTTTCTTACAGATACAATTTCAATATTGTCATTCAATAGTGGTGTGGTTTAAGAGATTTTTCATTCACAAGTCAAACAACGATCCACCCAAAGGGAACTGATAGTCTATAGGCTCATAGTGCAAATGAAGAGCTCGGGAATGCAGCAACTGACCTTTCTAAAATACAAAACGGATGAAATTCTTAGAAGATACATGTAACAAGCTCTACTAAGCAGCTGGCCACAGAACTAGAACATCTGATAATTTTCCTGGTGATTCACTGGGACTCCAGATGTTTCCAAACTCAACTTGAACTCTCATCTTAGTAGGCTTCGTATTTTCCTTTTCCAGTTTCGCTAATGACACAAACACGATTCAAATCCTTGAAGTAGTCATTATAGTCAAGGGCATATCCTACAACAAACCTGTCTGGAATTTCAAATCCAACAAAGTCTGGTCTACATGCAACACTTTGAGAGGTCCTTTTAACAGGCAAGCTTGCAACCTTGAGCATCTTTGGATTACGCTGCTTGACCAAGGAAAGCAAGGTTTGCACTGTTCTGCCAGTGTCAATTATATCTTCAACAATCAAGACATTCTTTCCAGTTAAAGTTGAGAGATCATCTCCACCAATTACTTTTATGTCACCTGTTGACTGGTCATTACAGTAGCTCTTCAGTCTACTAAAATCTACAGTCATAGGTATAGATCTGTCACTATTTCTCTTCAGTGCTTTGATGTAATCCAGCAGCTCAGCAAAGAATTTATAGCCCCGCTTGAGCACAGAGGGCCACGATGTGATGGCCTCCCATCTCCTTCATCACATCTTGAGCCAGCCGTTCGTTCCTGTCCATAATTAGTCCATGAAGAATAAACACCTTTTCCAAATCCTCAGCATAAACGATTAGGTATACCATATACATCTAGGTCATAACCTGGCTCATCATCATTAACCACGACGCTGGGGCTGCGGGCTGAGGGCAGTATGGGGAGAAGCCAGCGGGGCCGAGCAGAAGGCGGGGCCGCCCAGGAAAGCAGAGTGCCCCGCCCGAGCGCTCTTCGCCACCGCTCAAAGCGCAGGCGCCTGTATTTGATTTTTAAGGATACAGTGGTGTAATCTTCTTACAGCTATTGTATATCAGAGGATACCTTTGTGTTGACTTTTTGCATAAAAGACATCTTCGTGAGTATTCAATTCTTGAATCAACTATGTGATCCCATTCTTCAAAGCACTGAATTCCAGAAATCTAGGTAGAGAATGACTGATACTTTTACTTTGTAAAAATGAATATCTCTTGCCTGGAAGCCTATAGGGTCTAAAACACATCTTTATCCTCGCCTAAGAACATGTGGAGGATATCTCGCCTAAGAACATGTGGAGATGTAGTGGGTGCTGGGACAGAAAGCCATGACCTTTTATGTATGTCAAGGGCCGTGACGTTTGGAGTAAAATGTGGAGGGGAGGTCATGATCCCAGGGCTGAGTTCCCACTCCCAGCCCACATGCTGGGGACAAGCTTTCTTCTTGGAAAGGTCTTGCAGAAAAGCACCTGTGTAGGCGTAGCACCTAACTAACCAGTAGAGTTGACGAAGCTCATATGTGAGGATTGAGCCACCCATACTTAGAGAAGTGTTAGACACAACAGGGTCTGTTCTCTCTTTATAATTTGTAGTAGGACAATGTAAGAACATGTATATCTTTGTGCTATTGTTGCTCTGCTGTGCTCTGATGAGTTTGTCCCTTTTACATAACAGGGGAAGGGCACATCCTTGAGGATAGCCAGAGTAGACTTCTACGAAGACAGTGACTACGCCCCTGGATCCTTACAGGAAAAGGCAGATTCTGAGATATGAAAGGAAGGCTTGAGGGAAAGCCCTTAGCATGGAAGGAAGAGGGAACTCCTTCCTTACCTGGGGACTTTAAGACCTGAGCTTTGGCATCCCAGGAGACCATGACATAAACTTAGAGGAACTCCTAGAAAATGGAAGAAAAGTAGTCTTGACCACTGGGTGTCTGAAAATGAGCTAAGGAGGGAAGTGATTCTTAAAGGGGTCCCTTGATGTTGCACTTGGGACTGGGTTTTAGGCTCTGAAAGACAATTTATCTGGTAGCCACAACTGATTTTCTCTGAGTTTAAATATTACTCCACCATTGCTAAGTCTTCCATAAAAAAGGGAAGAGCTGGATTCACACTGTGGGTAGGGCACCAACACGGAGAGTCGTGGCTGGAAGACACAGGACAGTGGCTGTAGCTGCCTGAGGAACATCAGGATCCTAAAGCCACAGGATGAACTCAGCAGTGGCTGGCCTGGGCTGTTTTCTGTGGTACTGAGAATCTGTGAGCCAAGCAATGGTAGAGATGCCGGCCAGGACCAAGACTGGGACAGGGCCTCTTCCAGAGACATGGGAGAGATAGTAACCTAAAAAGTTCAGTTGAGGTTCTGCTTCTTAGGCAGTGAGGCCATAGAGCCATAAGACTTCAGGGGTAAGTTATTATTAAAGAAGAATTGTTAAAGCATAATATGTTCTCATTTGTACCTATGTGATGGGGAAGCTTGGGGATACACAGATTATACTTTTCATTAAAAAATGTTGCCCAGGGCTTCCCTGGTGGCGCAGTGGTTGAGAGGCCGCCTGCCGATGCAGGGGACACGGTTTCGTGCCCCGGTCCGGGAAAATCCCACATGCTGTGGAGCGGCTGGGCCCATGAGCCATGGCTGCTGAGCCTGCGTGTCCAGAGCCTGTGCTCCGCAACAGGAGAGGCCACAACAGTGAGAGGCCCGCGTACCACAAAAGAAAAAAAAAAAGTTGCCCAGATTTATATAGTTAGGGCCTCTTTCTCCCAATTTTAAATGCAATATGGTAAATCCTTCTGATATGCACAAACTTTTTTGGCTTGGGAAATTTTTCTTCCATTATGTTTTTGTTAATTTCTCCTCTTCTAGTTCTAATTCTAAGGAACAACTACAAGGCTTAAGTTCCCTTGCTGTTCTCTGTAAAGACACCTGTCCCCTTATCTCTTCATTTCTCTCTCTCTGTCCTTCTCTTCTGCCTTCTGGGAGTGAACTCCTCACGTTAGTCTTTCATAGCCCTGAATGGAACATTCATTTACCATCTCACTTTTGCTCTCTGTGATCTCAAGGGCAATTTTAATGATGCCATTGCATTTTTAGTTGTTCTTATAGTTCCTTGCTTCATCCATCTCCTTTCCAACTTTCTTCCTTTTAATCTTAGCCTGCACTCTATCATGGCTTTCTTGCCCTGCTTTCATAGTCTATCCCCTTGCATTCTCTAGAGAATGAACATAATTTTCCAAACTCCTTTGTTCTGTATTTTTAAGCTGTGTTCTTCTGAGTTTTCAGAAGGATAACTCTGTTCTGTTCTGCAGTATTCTTCCGTAGGTATAATGTTAACTTGCCATTGGTATTCATATACTGTGAAACCACAGGAAGAATTCTGCAGTGAAGCAGGATGTGTGGACCATCACTGATTTTACTCGCTGTCCGCTGATTTTCCAGCTGAACTCCTGCCTTAGGTCACTGGACAAATGGCGGGCTGGTGTCTATAATTTCTAGTTAAACTCCAGCATCCAGCACTGGCTGCAGTGGACTGAACTTCTGCTGTCCACCTTGGCGGACAAATGCATGAGATGAACTGCAGTACAGGAAGCAGGATGCTCTTGTACCCATCCCACCAAGAGTGCTGATATAATATACTTCCTGGATGCAGCAGTGTCTCACCAAAGCCCACCGACTTCCTGCTCAGGGATTTCTCGCATCCAAACTCTGAATGGCTGTGGAAGGACCTGTGTTGACAGGGGGTGGAGGATAATATCATGGTGCAGCAAAAAGCAGAG